GATGGAAGGCTGAGTCGACCTTGAGCCGGTGAGATTTGAACCGCTGAACTGCAGATCACAGTCAGCTAAGTGGCCTGCAGTACTGCACCCTAACCACTGTGCCACCTCAGCTCCCTATAAATAGTGAGTCCTATATCCCTTTAAAACATACCATCTCACTATTTCCTCTCTTCTACCTAGAGATTCAGAGGACCTTTGTGAAGGAGATTGGAACATTTCCTTCCAGTTTCAAGATAGTTCTGTTACTTTCACCAGTGTTTTACAGGCCTAACTTACGCATTTCCAATTCAGTGTCTGTAATTAATAGCTCTTTTTCTTTAGCACTATCCAACAATCTGAGCAGAAAACAACTTCACACAATCCATTTTCTCTTGCAAATCTTATCCATTGTCTTCTACTCATCTTTGCCCAGAAAAATTCAATGAGGGAAACTCCTGCATGCTACAGCTGTTTCCTGTTGGTCAGTTGTGGCAGAGAAAATCAATTAAAACTAGAAGCATTGTGACAGATTTAGTCCTTACTCTCACAATGTGTATTAGGTCTTCTGATTGATTGGAGAGGTTTTTCAGAAGACACATGGGGTCTGAATGCGCGTAAGGAAACTAACAAACAAGTTGGAACATTACTAAAGGTAAATGGTGTTTTATAATTACAGATAGTCCTAGACTTATAACTGCAATTGAACCGAGAATTGTGATCGTAGTTAAATGGTTGTTAAATGGGTCACATTGTGACTAAGCTGATTGCTGAATGGCAAAGTGTGATCATGTGACTGTGGGGATATTCACTGAAACTTTGAAACTGGGTTATAAGTAGCCCTGGAAAGATCTGTTGTAACTTTGAAGAGTTGCTAAGAGACTGGTCATGTTGAGGATTATCTTTATTACCCCTTTTAGGTTGGTAATATATTCAATTTTTTGCTTTGAAAAATGAAAAACATAAGAAAAGTCAAATATTATTCATAATAGGTCCTTCACAACTACAGTGAATTTTACATACCTTTTTGACTGTTCACTTTGCAATTCCATTGTGAGCCTTTTTTCCTGCCCTGCCTGTAAAGAAATATAACTCTTAAATTTTAGTCCAATTATTTTCTAATCTATTGTTTTATAAAAAACAAAAATTGCATTAATAAATGAAAAACAGAAATTTTGTTTACTTAAACATTTCTCAAACTTCCATTTTTTGTTTATATGTGCTTCTTCTTATACATCCATACTGCCCCCTGCTGTCTAGAATAATTTAAATAATTCTCCTTTAGGCAGTAATCCACCTCCAAAAAACCTTGCCAAGAAAAAACTACATCGACTTAAATGCACCAAAACAAAAACACACCTCATAATTAATTCCACTAGTACACTAGCCAACATACTTTTCAACAAAGAAACCAGATTCCCACTATTTATATTAACAACAAAAAACCTTTAATCCATTTTGATAAAAAAAAATCACATCTTAAAAACAGACTTAAATAAGCAAGGTTGCAATTTCAATTTTGTCAGTCTCCAAAAGTTTTAACTATATATGTGGCAAACTACTGGTGAAGCAATATTTAATAGACTTTTCCAAGAATGCTAATTCAAATTTAATCAGGACATAAAATACTGGAGAGGAATGGAGTGTGTATAACAGTTAAGCGTATGGTTAGATGCTTTGACATATACTTACTTTATGGTTGATCTCTAGTCTCTGTCGTACCCTGCTTGATTCAGCAGAAGACACGAGAGAAGGTTTAAAAAACTGTGAATGAGTCATTGACCGTGAAACAGGCTTGGGTGTCACAAGCTTCTGAACTGGTGGATAATGAGTTTCAACCTTTAAAATAAGAAATATTCACTGAACTAAAAGCAACTAGAAGAAAGCTAGTTCATCACTATACGTGTGAAAGCATTTGCTGCAGTTTGTATATATTTAAAAAATCCTTATGTTCATTATCAACCACCCCCTCAAAAATAAGTATACAAAATGATAAAATACTTAGTTTTCCAAATCTAAAATTATATTTTAATTCATTTGCATATTTATTTCAGACATTAGAAATGTACTCAAGGAAATAGACTAGTGCGCCAAACCTAAACATTTTAATACTTAGAAAACCCAAATAAGCTTAATAAGATTTACCTTAAAACAATATGTGCTAGATTAATATAAAAGATTAATTAAATTTGAACATGATGCATAGTGTTATTTAGCCATCTGAGCTAACCATTTCAACCAATTTTATTAATAAATTATGTCAATTCAGTTTACACTGAAGAAAATTATGGACAGTAGACAGCACATTTGCTTTGGCAACAAACCATTAACATACTGGTTCTGGCCAACAATTACTACTGCCAACAATTTATTATACAATGAATAGACAATTCCTCCTTTTTCCATTTAATGACAGGTGGCTGCATCTATTTGACATGTGCCAAAAAGGAAACAGCATCAGTTATCTATCTGACATCGCTTTCGGTTGTCAGTTAGCAAGGAATTAATGTTGCATTTGAGGCCAATGCAGCAAACAAACTGGAAAATTAAAAAGTAGACGATGAAATTTACTATACCACATATGTTAATCTAAAGCCTAAATTTCGAACATGAACAGAAGGCAGCCTAATGTTGTTTGAGGAATAGAGAATTTGTGGGAATGCTAGAGTTTTCTGAGGGACTCTTCCTCTCTGGGCCATACTGATCCGACTGTTCCAATTTTCCCAAACAGTCACTGATTCATGGTGTTGGGAATGTGGTCTGCTATCAAAAGAGTTTTATATTTTCAGAAAACTGCTCAAGCATTATTTGAATGGCTGGATCAGTATCGTCCAAAGATACACATGAAAAACATTAGTGTGCCCTAGAGTTTCCATGCCAAATCAGAAGATTCTTCTCCTTCCTAATTTTTATTGGAGCCCTATAAATCTGTGTCAGATTCCACATAAACAGTTCCACAACAAAGAATTAAATAAATTCTGCACTGCTTAAAAATAATGGTAAAATTTTGTAAATTAACTCACTCTTTTCCTTGATGAATGGAAATTGGTAACATTCAGCATACTGTTTTCCAAAGGCTGAAACATAAAACACAAAAATTAAGTCTTGGATTTTGAAACTAAGTATGTCAGGAAATTTTAAAAGCTTGAAAATTAACTTACAGATGACAAAGAAGTAGAAACAGAAGAAGGAATTCTTTTAGCATCCTGTTGAAAAAGCATGACACTGTTAAATTACAGGTATAGACACATTTATCAAATGCAATGATAATACATGGATGATATAGTGTTAGGTACTGAAAATAACTTTTAAAAGAGTAATTTACTGCTAATGGACTTGATAACTTCTCCAAAGACTGCAAGATGCGCCTTGCAGTGGAACTTGTCACTCCATAGGATTGTGCACTCGCTTGCTTGGCTTTCATTTGTCGTCTTAATGGTGTCTGAAAAATCAACACAATCAACATCATAATCCTTATTTTTAATTTTCCTATTATAGCAGACACAATAATGGTCAGTCTCCTGAATTTTCTACAAGTTTGAGAAAAAGAATAATCATTATGTTCAGTATGGTATAACATAATGCAAGAGAAACTTCTGGCATCTTGGCATTGTGAAATAATATCAAGACCTATGGGGTGATGGAATGATGGGGGGGGGGGAACGGAAGGAGGGAGGAAGGGAGGAAAGAAGGATCTGGCACTGAAAGAGAAGCATCAAAATAGGCACAGTAGTAACCTTCTACTCCACACAATTCTTTCTCTACCACCATGTGGTAACATGATATTTTAGGAAGAAAAAGGCAACAACCACTGTCGCTCTTTCCTTTTAGCTGAGTCACTGAGGAGGGGGGGAGAGAGAGAGATAGGATCATATTCCATAACCTCCTTGCAGATTCTAGAATAACTTTTTCAGTAAGATTGTTGAGTATAGTAGAATAAGTATCACTATGAGATGCTATGTAACAAGCCACAATTTGTAGCTTTCACTTTTGTTTTTACTAGGTTTAAACAGAAACATGTTTAACATTGGTAGGAATACAATGAAGTTGGAAAACTTTTAGTGACACTGAAGAAAAGGCTTTGAATCTTGCCCAGAAGAGAGGGAAATGATGAAGTTTATGAAATTAATACCAAATCATGACCAAAACAATCCAAAATGAATACAATTCATGCTCCCTATGCTGAATTGTTATCGGAAAAATTACATTCCTTAAATAGGTGTTAAGACAAGAATATGCAATATTGCTACACAAAACATAGACATTATTGCTTAACCCTTATGATTTCCTGAAATCACCAGCATTTGTTTACCTGATATGGAGTAATTCGTAATTTAGACTGCCTTGTTGTTGCAGCTGCACCACCATATGTAGTTTTGCCAGGATAAAATGGAGAATTCCCTAGCTGGCTTGCCTTAAGAAATGATGCATTACCAAGTGACTGGAAATACAGAAAGATATTTAATTAGGAAGCTGGAAACACAAGTAATAGGGCTAAAGCAGCTATTGCGCAGTACTTACAGGAGAAAGTGCTCCAAAGGCAGACAGATTAAATCCAGGTTTTTTAGAACTATTTGCTGAATGTTGAGGAAGGGAGACGGATCTTTCACTCTCTGCAGACCATAAAGGTGGCACTGAAGCATTTTTTGAAACAGTTATGTCTAAAAATATACATAGAACTGCATCAATATCTTATTATAAAATGCATTTTAAAACAAATTTAGTATAGAGAAAGCTTTAACCTTGCCCTCTTGATTCATTTTTTGTTTTAAATTATAATTATTACATTAAAAAAACATGAGGGTGTGACACATTGTAAAAATAAAGCCTCTAGCACCATTTTCACTTTCAAAAATGCTTCTGGAACCAGAGATATTATTCAAAAATAATAACAATGCTTGACTGAATCTCAGCACTTTATTTTGAAGGTAGAAAAAGGTAAGCTAGGATGGTTGCTAGACGTGAGTAAAAAGGGTTTTCCTGAGGTGCATATGCTGTTTCCCCCAATTTTAATTAAGTGAAACGAAGAGCAAAAGAAAAAAACTCTATAGGTCCCAGATAATTTTTCAGTATTAGTTTAAATATTGCAGTCAAATTAGTTACCTTTATCAGATGCCCTTGAAGAGAAGCCACTTGTAGTTGAGATGTTATCGTCTTCATGCTGCGAGGTAGAATCTTTCATTTCTTTTCCAAGTGAAAGTCGAGAATTATTAACTGGAAATGCAGTTGATGTGGATGGTTGAGAGAATGGTGACGGGGAATCCAAAATGTTGCAGTTAACATGACTCCGATGAAGAGAGGGACGTGTTAAAATATCTGTGAAATTTAAACTAGATCTACTTGTTGATGGCTCTAAAGAGAAAAAAAAATCACACAAATATCGTAAGTAGCAAATATGTGTAGAAAAAGATTAAGGACAATTTCGTATCAGTAACCAATCTTCTGTAAAGGTGATGTAGAGGGAAAAAAAGGAAAACCCAAGAAAATTTTAAATTGTTTATAAAGGATACTAAATAATAAACATTACCTACTTCATACTATACTTCAATTTTTCCATTCCTCTCTGGCTCCAAAAATTGAGGAAAGAAAATTTTATGGGAATAGCTATTATATTTGTGCCAAGAACCATACTATTATAACAAAACTATTGTTGTATATAAAGAAAGAATAAAAAGATTCTTTTTCAACACTATTCTGCAGCATAGAATTTAAATAATTTTAAAAGACTAATATGCAATATAAGCTATTCTAAATGCCCAGTAGGTTGTACATTCAATTAAGTTATTGAGTGATTAGATTTATATTATTTATGAGTAACTCTATACCTATAATTCTATATTTTCTCTTATATAAGCACTTTACAAGCATCGCAGTACAAATTATATAACATTTTCTTTGTTCACTTCTTGGCATGCAATGTACACTTAAAATCTACCAAATAGTTATTTTGATTAGATAATGAATACAAAAATGTACAAGTCAAGAAAGAGCCTAACTATCTTCTCCTGTTGCTTAATAAAATGCTGGTCATAAAAAGTAGTTTATGGTAATGATTATTAAATTAAATTAGATCTGCCATTGAATTTCATCTGATCATCTTGGAAGGCATTTGTTAAGAGTATGAAGATGATAGCAATTATATAAAAAAGCATTGTATAATATGAAAAGTTAGCAAAATCTTTATCATAATTCATAACGTTTGGAGAAAACCTGCATTGTTATTATTAAGCTTATTAATTGATTTATAAAATAAACAAACCCACCTCCTAAAGTAATTCTGGTTGGCTCAGGAGTGATTCGACCATCTATCTCAAGAGCATTTTCAGTGATATCATCTGCAAAGGGAGGATGGTAGTTTATATCCCCCTCCAGATTTCTTTGCTCATTTGGAGATGTCTCTTCATTTTGTGTAAAATATCTTTGAAGCCAAGTTGGAACAATGTTTTTTATGGATTCCTTCACAATATTCATAATTCCCTATTGAAAATAAAGAAAACACAGTTGTAAATTGGAAGCTTTATTACATAGTTCAGACAACTAAACTACAAAAGTTCCTTTAATTAACAGCTATTTTTAGTAGTGCCAAGAAATCTGAGGCAGCAAACCCAAAATCATTGCCTAAACATCTATAGAAGTCTTACATTTTTAATCCAAATAATGTTTCAAATTCTGCCATACCTATAAATATTTTTCAACAGTGAACACATAAATACTATTAATGTACAGAATAACTCATCATAATTATTTATTATATTGGTATTGGTATTTATTCGATTTGTAAGCCGCCCTATTCCCCGAAGGGACTCGGGCGGCTGAACAAAAACCAGGGGAAGGGGAAAAACAAATACAGAAAGTAAGACAAACAGGACAGTGATATTTATATTTTTAAATATATTTATATTTGACCCCTCTTTTGGGAACTTAAGATACCATATATAGCATTTCTTTTTCTTATTTTACCTCCCCTCTTTGAGGTAGCATGACTGGTATAAATGCACCATGTGACTTCCATAGTTCACTAAACGTAAGTCTCCCTATTCCTAGTCCAATGCCTAATCCACTACACTGTTAGATACGTATTGTGTCTTCCTACTTTTTAACAATGGTAAAAAGCTATCTGTTTCCTCCCATTCTTAAGAATTGGGAAGAATAATGGCATTTCTCATAGTGAGATAACTTCTAACTCAATGTTATTTTTATGGATTGTCTTTCTTCCTCTCTGTAATAGTGTGGGGTGGATTTTTGCTTCTGCTTTTAATATGCTAAACAAAAAAAAACCCTTGGAACTCTTTTGGGTTCAAGTTTGTGATAGTTCAGATTCCTTTCGGGAATTCCATTTAGTCAGCACAATTTCAAAACTTATTTCCCACAGACCTCCTGAATATCTTGGAACCATGGCAATTTGCCTATATTTGAAAAAGACACAATACATGATCAAGAATAAGTTTGTGATTTAGAATAGAAACATGTTTTTGCTGGCCATTATAGTCAGATTGTGAAAAATGAATGCTGCATTTCTTAGTAAAAACTACTGAATGTATGAATTTGTTTAGTTCATTTTTATTTGCTAATTCTAGTATGGGCTATTAATATTGAGGAATATTATATGCTGTAGATTTTAAACAATATTGTCCGCCACATAAAAAACTATTTCATGACACAAAACCATTTTTGTTCACTGAAAAAAGAAAACACACACATCATTTAAGTAACCCCTCCTCTAAATGAAACTTGTAAAAACATCATAATATTTCTATATTTCTTTCTCTGACTTCATATGGGTGGGATACTGTTTACCTGGCTTTGACTTATCTCTCAAGGGAAGCCTGCTTGATATCCCAGCTAATATCTGTTTTAGTAGCAAATGAAAATGTTTTTGTTTAACAGTACACTTTGTTAATTAAAAATTTGCTTGTTAACAGTTAATATATATTTAGCAGCTAATAAAAATTAAAAACAAAGTGACCTTTTCAAGATATTAAATATTAAAAGCGAAAGTGGGCCTCCACAGGCAGGGAATTACAGGTCCTTATCTGTGTCCCCATTAATGGCATCTCAGATATTGACAGAATGAAACGGAGAACATTTCAATTTAAGCATATTCAGAAGATAATCCTCAAGATATTTTATTCCTGTTTATGGCTTTAAATGCATTAATTTTAGGAACTAAGCAATCACATGCATATGCTGCCCAAAACCATCTCTAAAATAATATTAAATTGAAAAAACTTTTGAAATAAATATTTTACTGACCAGTGCAAATATAGCCTGAATAAGGTTATGGGAAAGAGATAACATTTCCTTATCTCAGATGATTATATAGCAATAGCAATAGCAGTAGACTTATATACCACTTCATAGGGCTTTCAGCCCTCTCTAAGCGGTTTACAGAGAGTCAGCATATTGCCCCCAACAATCTGGGTCCTCATTTTACCCACCTCGGAAGGATGGAAGGCTGAGTCAACCCTGAGCCGGTGAGATTTGAACCGCTGAACTGCTGATCTAGCAGTAGCCTGCAGTGCTGCATTTAACCACTGCGCCACCTTGGTAATATCAATTACTGCCCAGAAACAAATCACCACTTTTGGGGTAAGATGCTTGAGATGATGTTGTTAGTAGAGTTGTAGATTTTTTTTAAGCACCCACTATCTCAATCTTTCATATTCTGGATTTAAGCTTGGTTGTTGGCCAGAATCAGCCATGGAACCCCCACATATGATCTTTTGTGGGAGAGAGACAGAAGGAATGTGGCCCTATTGATTCATGAGGTCCATCTGATACCATCATTCTTTGCAGATTATCTGAAGGAAAGCAGTTTAACAGATGATTTTGGCTGTGCCTGTAGATGAATTGTGGCAGAGCTAGGTTACAAATGGTGATCACATGACCTTAGGAAGTGCAACTGTCAGGAATACATGCCAGTTGCTAAGCACCCAAATTTTGATCACATGACTATGGGGATCCTGCAATGGTTGCAAGTGTGAAAACTAAATCTTAAGCCACTTTTTTCAATGCTATTGTAACTGAACAGTTACCAAACAAATGGTTGTAAGTTAAAGATTACCTGTATTGCAGCATGATTTACGTAGGAGAGCCCTTGAAAAAACCCCAGAATGCAGCAATGCAAGCAGTGATGGGCATGTTTTCGACTGCCTGTGTAACACTCCTACTTCCTAAGCTGTTTGAGTTACAAGCTTGCTTCCAGGTTATTTTCTATAAGAGTCTATGTGACATAGAGCTTGATAACTTGAGGAACCACATATCTCCATAATATCCATCTGGCTATTTGATATAGCAAATTTGATGTGCTATGTGTTCCTCTCTAAACAATGCCATCTATCAGAAGTATACCTTCTCTGTTACGGAACTTGCCCTCTGGATGAGGTTCCCTCTGAGATTTGGATGTTGAGTAAGCCTCCATCCTGCTGGTGTTTCAATAGGTCTTAAAGATCTACCTCTTTGCCCAGGTTTCCAGCTAAGGTGATTCAAGTCTTTCAAGTAGCATATGAGTTTTTAATTATTATTGCCTAATTCCATTACCTTTATGCTCCTTTGCCTTTATTAATATTATTTGGGGTTTTTTACTCTGTACAAACTTTAATAACAATCCTGGGTAATTTGTTAGGTGGTGGCACCCTGCTACAATATACTTTACTTCTACTTTGAAGAAAGATCTCTCAATGGTGTCTAAGCCTTTGGACATTAGAGGCTTATTGGGGATACCACAAGGCACTATTTTATATCCAATGCTATCTAACATCTATAAAAATTAACTGAAGGGAGTTATCAAGAATTTAGGGGTAGGTGAAATGAATCTATTGATAACACTCAGCCATCCTTCTCCAAAGTAATAGCAAAAGTGATGTGCTTCCTGAACTAAGTCTCTGGATAAATAATGAGCTGGGCACACAATGAACTGAGATTGAATCCGAGAATGAGATTCTGTGTGCAGGTTATTCCCAGATAAGAGTTTTGGGAGTTTGTTTTAAATGTCACTGTACTGAAAGGATAAATATGTAGTTTAAATATGTTCTGGTAGTCGAACTCCCAGCAAGTGTTGAGCCGGAGAACCTGACGACAGACAGGAGACGGAAGGGCGGAGCGAGGATGGCAGGAAAGAACGGATGTGTCTTTCTCTAACGGGAGCCACGGCCAACACAGCCATGGAGCTTGAAACAATGAGCAGATACACCAGTTGGGTGAATCTGGCAGTGTTTTTACATCTCACTGTGGTGCTCCTGGCCATTGGCATGTTCTTCACAGCTTGGTTCTTTGTTTATGAAGTGACATCCACCAAGTATACCCAGGACATTTCTCATCTCTCATCTACTCATTTCTCAACTACTCATCTCTCTAGTAGCATCACTCTTCATGGGCTTTGGAGTTCTCTTCTTATTGCTGTGGGTTGGAATCTATGTGTGACAGTAGTTTGGAGCTATTTCAGGTTCCAGAAGCCTTTCTGCACCTCCTTTTTACTTTTTTATTGAACAGTGTGGCTTATCACAGTTCTGGACTATAATTCTAACATGTGAGAAGTCTAACATCAGATCAATAAATCTGAATCTGTGATAAGCTGGAGAAAAAAAAGAAGAAGAAAAAGAGATGTTCTGGTAGTCAATGATGAAGTATCACTAGATACCTGAATTATCCCCATGACCAGGAAGACCTTTCAGATAATACGCCAACCACCACAGATCAGAGTACTTGACACATCTCCCTTCCTATTAGAGACTTGGTCAGTCACTCATGGATAATAAGGAAGAGTCTACTGCCTGCCCTATAACAAGGTTGGCACACTACTATCTAGTAGTTACTTGATAGCAGGTTACCCTGAGATGATTTTGTATCCTGGAGTGAAAACCAAAAAAAAAACATTTTTAGATGTGTCAGGAACATACTGATGGCCTCTCTTCACCTAGGCCTTCTCTGTTGAATGCCAACCATTTTCATTAAATTTTGTAGTAAATATGTAAATATGTTATATATACTTATAGGAAATGTTGCATATACGTGTGGGAAATAAATACCTCTCTCAGTAAGTTAAAACCAACTGGCTTTAAAGAAATACATTAGATCTATATCAAAGGCAATCTAAACTTCCCATGAAGTAGATGCAAATCCATCAAACTCTATAAAATTGTATGTGTATATTTGACTTTGGGGCCATTGGAACTGACTAATGTGTCCTACTATCTCCAAGAGTCCTAAATTAAACCTCATAGGAGGAAATCCAGTATTTGTAACCTTTGTGGCAGGCTCTACATGGCATTTCTTTTTGCTATCTATATTTAATAATTAACATGTAAGAAATATTTCTTACAACATGGCCATTGCCTATGTATTTCAAAAATATGCTATGTATTTCAAAATGATTTATTCTGAAAATCAGGATATAATTCTATAAAATAAATAAGAAATAATCTCAGATTTACTGGAACTTTTTCCACTGGAAATATGCAAAAATATACAGGTATTCC